ACTTGCGAGTTTTAAACTCAGATTATTTTACTTTTTACATTACACCCCCTCAATTGTGAAGCTGATTCGTGATATTCGTAAAATTCTGAGCTTGCCGAAGCCATGGACTCACAGATGTGTGGACTCACAGATTCGCTATTGATAATCGTTAAGTTGCGGAACCAACGATCGTAACTGTCGTCCCACGCAGAGAAAACGCCTCGACACGAATTTGGCATATCGAAATCATCGCCTCGAAACTGGCGAATCTCTCGACGATTGTCTCATCGGAATATTCTTCACATCGACCTCGATTGGAATGTGATTAATGATTAGCTCACAATTTAAGAACTCTTCTCTTTGCACATTCTGTTTTTAGATAAAATTATTTATGATTGTATTATTATTAATTGTTTTTATTATTAATTATTATTATTTTAACGGATATTAAAATGATGTATTATAGTTTATAAATAATATCGGAACAATTTAATCGTCATATTTCACAAAGCAAAAATATTTTTTATTAAATCGTAATTTAATTTATTTTAATTGTCAATTAAAATGCAGATTGTTTCTACGTTCCATGTATCCATCTCCGTCATTCCGCGTATGTACGGTACCTTGACTTCTTGCCATCGTAAGCATTATTGCTCCTAGCTAAATGTTCGATCTTTCGGTTGTGGGATTTCATTACGAGCATTCAATCGTTATGACACGGTATGACCGCGTCCGTTACGTTTGCACGCGATACCGATCCGTATCGATGCATCTCCGGCGCCGCACCTGTATACCGACGTTGTTATTACCTGCATCATTATCTTTATCAAAACAGTCAATCTTCATTAAAATCCTGCACAATGTTGCTCGAAGCACTGACAAGGGCCAACCGGATCTCGAATCCAGTCCGTCGACTATATCTCAGTGTGAAGCTGCTCTTGTGCTTCTCATGACAACAGACGCAATTCGACGTGTATTCGCATATGGCACATAGTGGCACATAGTCGCGTATGATGACAGTTAGATCATTTAAGAGGCAATGGAAAGTGAACGTAGTACTCGCCTACGAGAGGAAGAATCAGGAAAGAATGGAGTACACGACAACGCCAGAGAAGTGGATCCATAAAGGCGGAGACTGCTCGCTATTGCTGAGTGCAAACGCATGCTGTTGCTGATAAGACGCCATCTCGCACTCATCACATAAGCAACCGCGGTCTGCCTGATAATCCGCAAAATACATAATGATTTATTATTACACCGTTCGACGACGGGAGGCATGTAGATACAACATCTACATCCGCGACTCTGAAAGTAAATTAGCGCGATAATGGCCATTGGTACTTGTTTTGTCATAGAAATAAATGAATCGCATATATCTATATGTGAAAGTAAGCATGTGACAGCCTTGGGAAAACGTAAACTCCATCGACGTTTATAATTCTCCATAAGCAATAAACAATTATTACTGCCTGAGAAGTGATGATATTCATTTAAAAAATGATTAGTAAATTTAATAATATTTGTTGAAAACAAATAATTGTTATATAAAAGAATATTATTTCAAGCATTATTTTGTGTAAGCGATACGTAAAGATATATATATTTTCTAATAAAAATTCTTAAATCGAGTACATGTATGAAGGACGAGTTACTAAAAATTTTATACCGTAAATTCAATTAAGCTTAATGCTCTAAAAATTAAATTAATGTCTATATAGTTACCTGTAGATAATGTTAATGATACAATTTTCTATTTTAGTGAAATTTTTATAAATTTCCTTAAAGAATTATTTTTATCTTCTTTAACTGTCCCTAATGCTTCTTTAATTGCTAGATTTATTAATTATATGATTGCTTCAAATATTATTAACTTATATGCAAAATTGCTATTAAATAGAACACTTTCAAATAGACGCTTTCAAATAGAACATAAAAATGTTATAACAAATTATCTCAAGCAAATATTGTCGTTTAATCTAATTAGACAATTTTTTTATTGGCCGTAAAATTTAATAAATTTTAATTTTAAGTAAATATATTTAATACATAGAAAGCAAAGAGAAAAATCACTGCGACTTATTTAGAATAACAGAAAGATAATCAATCTCATTATTGATGTAGTAAAATTGAAAATAATATATTTAATATTGAATATTAATATCAAATTTATTTCAACATACGGAAAGAATCTATTGTCTCTTTTGAATTATTCAAATTATTTTAAATGTATCTATAAAATACATTCTATGTATCTATTTAAATTTAATAATAAATAAGAATTTACGAACAACGCAAACTTAACAAAGATACGAATAGTATTTAAGGAATATAGTATTTAAGGAATAAATAATGTGTTATATGTGATATTTCTTCCAAAGAGTATTACATTTATTCCAACATAGATTATAGATAATAAGAGACATAATATGAAACATAGCTAGTATAATTAATTATATGTGACTGGACACCGCAAAAAACTTAGAAACGTTGCTTATGTAATTCAAATTGTTCATGTAATAATAATCAGACATTTACGATAGATAACAAAGAAAAGAAGAAAGAGAAAGTATATATTTATATGTACAAATACTTTAAATTAAATATCTACAGAATGGAATTTTTTTTCCTTACATTACGTCGTTGAATGTAGGGAGATAAACGCAAACAGTCATTGCAATTTAAAAATTGTTCTAACTGTTTAATTATAATTACTAAATAAGATATATTTAACAATATTATAAATAAGTATTAATATTGGGTACGCAATATTTTTCCTATTCTTTTCTGTTCATCACAGACCAATATTTGCACAAATCAGCTATATAATACATAGTTACTATATAACTATTATATAACAAATTACAATTATATGCATGCATATTTTTTGCTTTAATAACGTCATATTTATGATGGAAATCTCTAAATGCACAAAATGGAAGCACAAAATACGATTCAAAATCATTTGATCCTTTATGTATCTATCCAATCAATTAAATCTCTTAAAGCCAATCTATTATTAGATCTTATCTATTATATATTACACATGATTTACAACATAAAAGATGAAATAAAATAAAATTGAGATATTATTTTCGATTATAACCAAAGACTAAATGTTATAGAAATACTTATATAAATGTATACTAATATATATTTAATGTTAAATATATAACAAAGATATGGTCTGCTGATTATAATTCTGATATTTTTGGTAGATGTGCCAATTCTTAACATTTTCATTTATATAAATAATTTCCTAAAATTAAAACTACACATTGGAAATATTAATGTTTTCATCATAAAATTGAAAAATAATGCCTATATTGTGCGATAAAATAATGATATTAAATAATCTATAATTGTATGTAATACATATAGCACTTTGTCGTCTACAAATTAGATTTATGCACACATTGAAATTGAGCATGTTCATTATAATTTGATAGAAATATTAACTTAATAGTTCTTAATTATGTACATAAGCTTGTCATTCGATGAGGCACCACATTTTTATTCTTGATGCAATTGCACTGATACACTTGTAACAATAATAAGTAATAATTTACGTTATTATTACAAATACTTTGAGCTATGATGAATTTGCACATCAATAATCGAGATGCACAAATAAAAAACGTTTTGTCTTAAACCATTTCCCACCGATCAAGTATGATAATAATGTTAAAATATTTTACAATTTCTTAAAAGAATATTTCTATACGAATTCCATTTTGCATTAATTAATCAGCTTAAAATATATATATATATATATATATATGTATGTGTGTGTGTGTGTGTGTGTGTGTGTGTGTGTGTGTGTGTGTGTGTGTGTGTGTGTGTGTGTGCGCGTGTGAAACATCACACACATACATGCAAACGGCACTGCTATCTTAGATATATTCAGTATGACGAACGAACAATAATTTTCATCAGTAGAATATATGGCAATAATATATGAGAAAGTTTTAATAAAATGATACGAGAAAGATGGTACGTTAAAAAATTAGCTATATACAAAAGCATATGGTATTACAATATTACTAAAAATTTGATTTCTTTCGGCAATATTAACGATATCCACGATTGTCGCAGTCAGTTATACAAATATTCTACAAAATATTAGATATCTATCAAAATGGTATCACAATATCATGACGTATGCAAACGAACGAATTCGTAACGAAATTATATTATATGGATAAGAATTATACATATTAACTAGCAACACTATGTGTATATATTTTAATATTAATTGACACTTTCTTATGATATTAAATTATTGCACGATGATACAAAAATATTTCCCATTAAATTGTAAGACCATTTTGCTTTAAAAAATTATACTTATAATTTTTCTTTGTTGCGAGTGTAAAAAATCAATAATTGATTGATAATAAGCTAGTTGATTCTTTCCACATGATTATTTTATCAATTATTTTACATTCAAGAGAGAATTTAATCGAGAATTGAATAATATGTATTTGTATAATGTTATTAAATCCACTGGTATATTATATAAATAAATGTATTTATATAATATACATTTTAAATATATGTTTTTCTATAAAATTGATCGTCATGTAGAATCTTCAATGCATAAATTATTATTTACAATATAACGGTGAAACTTTCCAATTATTTTTCTTTGTTGATCGCTAAAGATTCTAAATGCGACCGATGCAATTTGTAGTAAATCATTTGTAACATCTTGTTATATCTTTCTGCCTTAAACAGAATATATCAAAATACGTAAAAATAAAAAAAATATAAATAGCAAGACTATGAAAGATAGAAAAGAGCGTGAGAGCTATCCCCTGTGTTTGTCAAAAAAAAAAAAAAATCACGCTTATTCCTAGAGACAATCAAGATGTTATAATTAATCTGGAATTCTAAAGAAGAATTCTAATCAAGAAATCGTAGAATTAAACAGAATATTTTATGCCTCATGCATATTATATAAATAAATAGTATTTTATTTTATAAATAAAAATATAAGACATTTTTAAGAGAGTTCAAATAATAATTTCGCCAATAAATAATTTAGATAATCAAGCAATGAATGGATTTGTCTTATGCAATGCATATACAAGACATCACAATTAGAAACGAAGATTAATCTGAGGAAATGTCAACAGGACTATTGTTTAATTAACTGAATAAATAAAATCCATGTTGCCAATTTCCTTCATCAAACATAGACTTCACCTCTCTTGCTGCCAGTAACAGTCGTCGTGGCGGGTACATTTGTGGACGAGTCGAGGAGCAAGCCGCTCGTAAGCGACGCGTTTGTGCACGAAACACTACTAATCTTCCTCGACGTATCCTGAATTCTCTGATTAGATCTGGAAGGATCTTGAGTGAAGCTACTGGTCCTCGGTCGAATGCCTTGATTGGATACAGAAGACAGCCTGTCTATAATAAGACCGTCCTGCCTGCTTGACACAGAAGCCATACGAATTTCTCTCGGTTGCAGTCCTGGAGATTGCGGCAATGACATGCTCCTGTCGTTCTGACCTGACTGCACCGGTGGTACTGGCGGACCAGGCAATGAAGCCGATCGTCTACCCCGCGCGTCTATTGCCGCTGCGTTACTGGCTTGAATTCCAGGCACCGCGGCGGTAACTACGTAACCCAGTTTTTCGGGTCTCATCAGGATCGGCGAGCGATCATTGTAGCCATCAAAAATAGGCGAGCTGCCATTGCTACCCATCGGACTGTTGTTGTTGTCTATCAACGGAGTTGAGCGATCCTCCTGCCCGGTGATACTTCCACTTCTGCTACTACCGCTTCCGCTACCTTCCTCTTCGCTGCTCGTAACTTCTGTCAACGTCGCCTGGACGCTGTGGCCCTGATTGTTGGCGTGTGGCGTCGTCGTGGTCGCCGTCGTCATCAGACCCAGTTGCGTCAGATGACCCATAGTGACCGGTGTCAGGGTCACCGGTGTCATTAGACCGGCGCTGGTCAACGTCGGCGAGAGCACAGCCTGTGCCAAGGCTGCCGCGCCGGATTTCCCTGAAGCGGGTGTACTTTCAGTTTCCTGTATCGGTGACAACACCACCACCGACAAATCAGTTGGATAGTGACCGTTCGCTGGTATCACGCCCACCACACCTGCGCCGATGTTCGCCGCATTGGTAGCGGATAGAGCCAGCCTCTGTTCACGGTCGATCACCTCCTTCGTCACATCCGGAGTCGGTATGCGCGGCCTGTTCTTCAATGATACCGGCACCGAGTTCAGCTTCGTCATAGTGCCTACAATTAGAAAAGAGAGTGTTAAGACGACACTAGTCTGGTTGACTGATTCCGGAATCTTCCCGAGGACGCACGTAGAAAATAGATAATGATGTTGAAAATAGATAGTGAAAATAAAAAATAATGCCGATTAAACTAATAACTGTAATATTTCTCATCTGGAGACTTCGCGGACGAGCGTGAAAATGTGCGTGAAAATTTTAAAACCATTGCTTTGGCGCCAGGTGAGAAGGCGAAAGAGTTACACGATGAGAATATAATTATACGGATATGATACTTTTGCGACACTATCTTTCTCCTTATGAGACGCGCCAAGGGAAGATAGTAAAAATAAAAAAAAATACAAGGACTTAGAGAGAGTTCTCAAGAGAATTTTCTCGCTGAACGTAAGAAATAACCGCGGAAATTGCAGAGGTCACGTAAGATCAAGTATTACGTAATCTTGCGCATACGTGGAAACAATAAAGGAAAAGCTTACGATTCTTCGAGACTTTCTTTCAAGACAAGTCATGACTCAGAGGAAAAAATCTTTAACTGGAAAAGCCCAGATATTCTTCGAAAGCATATTAATAAGACGAAGAACATTCCACATAAGAATAGAAATAGATAAAAAAATACGGATAAAAAATCTAGCTAAAAATTTCAAAGTTTTGTTTCAAAATACTTTTAAGAAAGAATTTAAAGAAAAATATTTCACGAAGTGCTTCATCTAGAAATTAATTTCATTAGAAACATTTAATGTGTTTTAAATACAAAATAAATAAAACTAATAAAACATAATTAATATAAGTTTATAAATGTCAGACAAATTGACACTAATATATTATCGTTAATATATAAGCTTCTACGTACCTTGACGACCCATACGTTGGCTACGGACACTTTTACGCCCAACGAGACGATCATAAAGAGACATTTTAAGATTGGGATTGTTTGTTTGCGGAAGACCGCCGGTCTCAGGACTACTATATACGCTATTATGACGGTTTCGTGAGAAGAAACCACCACCGCTGCTATACGTAGTCGAGGAACTGCGTACCGAACCTACTCGGGTGATTTGGCGCTGGAACCAGCCATTCTTCTTCCGTTCCACTAACGGAGTGTCCACACTCTCCTAATAAATATGAAAGATTTAGTCTTGAAAGTGTTGCAAAATAAAAACTAATAAAAGACAAAGTCATGTAAATCGACAAAAAAAGATTGAATATTCTACATAATTATTTAGACCTTTTATTGATACATTTATATTTAAATGAAAGAGCATAGGTAAAAATTTATATAAAATTGTATTATTGCGTCTATGCAAGCAATTCACTTACATAATCGGCATACATATCATCCTGATGAGTTTTGCGATGCTGACCGTGACTGTGAATCTGTGTTCCCAGCATAACGTTTGCATAAAGAGCATCGCTATCTTTCACTTTGTAATGCTCCGCAGAACCTTTTGGTTCTTCTTTTCGATATTGCTCACTAGCAACTGTATATGGCAAGTCCTTGGGCACAACTTCGTCCCAGTATTGATCTTTCAAAAGTTCTGGATGTTCCTCGTGCATCTCATCAACGATCATGTAACCTGCCTATCATACGATAACGCGATGACGAGAAACAATGCATTAACATATGATTGAATAAAAGGTCCAAAGTACATAGTGAAAAATAAATTTTCCTACGTAAATATTTTAGTCTAATATTAATTTGTCTATATTATTGTATAAAAAAATTACAAATAATAATGATTTATAGATTGTTAAAGTCATTATTTTTTTATAATTATTTCTTTCTTATTATTATGTACCTTGATATGTCTATCTATCAACCAGTTTAGCTCGATGTCATCGTCATCTTCACCGAAAGGATTAATCAGCACCTCTGCGACTTTCAGCCATCCGATGTAAAAACAAAACTGCAAGAATATACGTCGGCTTTATTAAAAGTCTTGAACATTATGCAGGAAAACTCCTACGCAACATTCCACAGTCATAGTTTGAAGATAATATCGTTCATTTTAATCACCTGTAGCGTTGTGAAAAACGGAAAATACATATCCGGCTCCTCATATTTTCCGGTACCATTTGAATGTTCGACGAATTGTCTGCCAAGTAAGGCCGAAAAAAAGTAGGCGTACAGCGATAATGTTACCACCTGAAAATGTATTGAGAGCTTTATGTGACACAAGATTCTTATTACATCATCAAAGTAAAAAAAATGTGGTGTAAATTTAGTAATAGTAAATTTTGAGGAAGAACGCGCTAATGACATTTGTCATAATAGGAAAGATTAGCATATGTTATAATTTATTTCGTTTAAATATCAATTACTTTGAACGTAAAGTTGAAACAGAAAATTATTCCCGGAAGTTTCGAATTTCGTTAGAGATTATCGCCTTGTCGCTTCTTTTTCTGTGTCATGTAAGTCCAAGCAAACAGGTTTAATGAATGAATATCAAGGTCGTCGCGAACGCCGCCTTTCTCATTGAAGGTTATCAAGAAACGGTAGTTTATGCAAAAGTGTAGTATGACTTGTGCATAAAAGGACGATAAATAGTCTTGCATGTGTACTTGAGAATTTTGGGACCGGTTGATCGAAAAGATTCTCGAATGTAACGCGAAATCATTCTCGAAGACGTGACGTATTGCAAAATTACTGTTCAACTCTCTTGTCGACCTTGACCATGCAACATGTATCGACTTCGTGTTTTATGCACGATTCATTATCCGCGCTGCATCCGTTGGTTACCAGCTTTAAAATGTTCAGTGGAATATTCCTTTTAATTAAACTTATTGCGATACAAATAGACACATATATGTTGTAGTATTTTATTTCAAACTGAATTGTTGAGCACAGGAGTCAGCGAGCGAATGAAATGCGCGTTCTGAAAGAGGCTCGTTATATAGGGACAATATTTCGGACAATAATTTGGGATTGATTATGGTTTAGCGATATCGCGTCGCTGCAAGATCTAAAAGATGCTATTCTACACCGAAAGCAGCCGCCGCTGCCGCTATTGAGCACAAAAACAACTCGCGGTAGAATCTGAGACACCGATTTTCCAAAGGATCCAAAGGATCCAAAGGATCTAATGTACGGTAATGTATGCTAATAATAATTACGTTTAAATGTGAGTATAAACATTGATAAACATTGATAAGTATATTAAAATGACACGTGTTATAATATATTTTTTAAAAATCAGATTTTAATTAAATTAAATCAATCAAATACACATTTTAAGATATATCTTTTATAATACAATATATCCTTTTTACTCATTTTTATTTACTTATTTTCAAATATAAAAAAATATATACGGTATTAAGAAGTGAGAAATATTATATGTTATATATGGAAAATGGATATATGTATGTCAGAGGTCAGAATTATACATTTATTTATTTTCATTATGATACATGGCATATCGTGATACGGCAATGTCTTAAAATCGTTTGTTACAAGAATGAGCAAAAACGTTTGCAGTATAAACGCAATAACAGCGAGCATCCAAAATGGGTATTAATCTTTGACGGATGTATCATTACGCGGTGAATACTCTGCGGTCATTACGCGTAATCTTCTTGCGATTTCACGGAGTATGTCGAATCGCACTATCGTCTTGAAAGAGATTTATATTATGATTTATACGTAAGAGAAGACTATACGCATGACGTATCGCTGTTTTGCTAACTTCTCCCAAATTAATAACAACTGATGAATGATTTTATTTATTACTTTTATTTATCTCGCTACGTAATCAAGTATACTTTTAGACACAATTTAAATGTATTTAAATATTTAGAGCAGATAAATAAGAATAATTATTCATAATGATTGAGAAAATAAACGTGAGATTGATGAAATAAAGACATTTAGAAATCCAAGAGTAATATGAAACATTCTATATATATTATACAGAGTAGTGCTTTTTGCTGCATTACGTTTGCCTAGACTTGCGAAATGATGCGGTCTTTAACTCCTTGAAAATAGCTTTTGTGCCAGATAATTAGGGAAATTAAGTAAAGTTTGAGCAATTACACAATGCATAAACGTTCGCTAATTGCAAATACAAAATATACCTTTCCAGGAATAAAGCTTTACTTCTCAACTTGATTATTTCTGATTTGTTCAAATGCATTGTCTTAAATTTTCCTAATGGATATGATAAAGGATTTAGAAAATGTGAAACTAATAAAGGTATAGATAATGAAAGAAAAGATTAATAATATTTATATAGATGTATTGATAATTGACATGTATTGTTATCCATAAATGGATAACATTAATTATGGAAAAATTATGTGTTAAAAAGTATATTTTCTACATGATTTTAATTGATTACCAAATTATGTTAATAGAATCCATACACACAATTAAAATAATAAAATATAATTTTAATATAATTATTGCTCAGTAATTCGTTCTATATGATAAATACTTTTAATAATTAAACTTCTATACTTATCTATTAAAAATTGCTTAAAAGAATGATGTGTTTCAAATAATGTTATAAAAATATTTGTGATTATTATCTAGCTGAAGATGACAATAAACTTTTTTGTTTATCTATGTTCAGTTTGATGTCACACATTGCAAGTAAAATGCATTGAATACAGTTGTCGTAGAATTACATAATAATGCGTCACGATCTTGGCGCTTAAAGCATGATAATGACACGACCACTGGAGAATGATGAAGACATTCACGTAACATATTCGACATCTGCCAATAACGGGTGGCACTATCGATAATTGCTCTTTCCATGGCGCCAGTGTAAGAAAGAATAGATAGAAAAGATAATGTTATTTCTTGCATACGAAAAAAGTAAAATAAATAAAATAGATTACTGTATTTCATTATTTTCGAATAAATATATGCAACATTTATGAATTATTTATGATATATTCCTTCGAATTCATTTATTATTTCAACGCATTTTCGGAATTACTCGGATACGTGATACTTCATTAAATTTATCAACGTCTTACAAATTGAAATTATTATAAATATTTATTCATAGAAAGACTTATAAAAATAGAAACTTATAAAAATAGTGCGAATTTTCAAAAGATGTATAACTGATGTATGTATCTGATTATAACGTTTTTCAATTTCACAAAAAAATACTCACCTGAGTGTAGACTAGAGGAACACAAACAGTATCGTAACCAATTAATGCGCCAAGCCTTTTCCGGATGTCGCTGAGCTCGACGAGGAGAGTTTGCACTACTTGATCGCTAGTGATCAAGGCCTCTTTCCTTGCCCTATTGATGATATTCGTCGCCCAGACCAATGGCATCCAATATTTAGACATGGCTGCCTTTTTGTTCATCATCTCGAAAATTTTCTTCTCCGATTCCATCATCAGACCTAAGAAAATCGTCGAGATTAAGCGTGAGTTATTTCATTATTCGCCCGACTTAAGCGAAAAACATTTCCGGACGTCCTAGCTAACTGTATAATTACACGAACTTTCCCCGCGTGAGACGTTTGAAAAATTTCCTCAACGAGATACGGATGCTTGTGTATCGTAAATCGCGATCGATATCACAGGGCAGTAAGTCAGCCAGCCCGCGCCTCGTAATGCATCGCGATCCTGCGTTAATTAACAAATCCATCAGCACGGTTCGTTAATCGGCAGCAGATTATCAAACAATCAGCATCTTTCATCGACTTTCGCGTGCGCTCTCTACAGAATTAGCTATACGTTTATTTGAACTAACTTGTAGACTCGTAGATAAATGTATGAAACTGTATAAACTATTAATGCAAAACATGTCCATTGTCCGCATAAATTTCTTCGAAATCAAAGTGAAATCGCCGATCAAAGAAAAATTCTGCTTTATTTTCTGATCGGCAAAACATCATATACAAATGATATTCTAAAATTTTGAACTGAACATATGTACATCTTGCCATATTTAAATAAATAATCTTCCTTAGTGTTCAAAAATATATTTCACATTTCAGATATATATATTTTTATAAACTTTTGTATAAATCAATTTTATTTTATATTAACTATATATTTTAAATTAATTTCTTTAATTAATTTTCTAATTCTACATAATTTTAAGCGTTAAAAAATATAAATTATACATCTATTAAATATAAATGTATAAATGAATGTTGAATAAACTTTTGGCAACTAGTTGAAAAAAGTGTATCTTCATGAAAGAAGACATAGAAGATGTTCTTAATAGAAATCATTATTGAATGATTAACAAAGATGTGATTAAAAAAGATCTAATACTTACTCTCTGATAAAATAACAATTACGTAATTGCTTATTCCTAACGACACGAGTCGTAAATATTGAACGCGCGCGATAGCGTAATGAAGACGAGAAAGATCGTAAAAAAAGATGAACGTTTGGTTAACCAATGAATCGCTTTCGATGCTAAGTCGATGATAAGTAAGAAGCTCATAACGTAACGACTTTCATGTGTAAATGTACATTTGAAAGAAAATCGAGAGATTGTGATGAGGTTACCTAAAGCGAGATTACACGACATTATATCTAGTTTCTTCCGTCCAAATCTTAACGAAGAATCTTTTACGAATTGCTAGTTGACATCTTCCTAGTGAAAGTCAGTGAAATAGATTATTTATATAAGGTTTGTAATTATTAGACATTAATAGTCAGATATATACGTGTGAACTTAAGTTAACTAAGATAATCTGTAAATGCAGCAATGGAATATTCTGCTTTTGTAATCTGCTACTTTTGCTAGTAAATTAATATTTTTATATTTCAAGAGATTTATACATTTTTTTTTATGTATACTGATCGTGAGGATTCGAAAATATACACATACATGTATGTGAAGATTCGAAAATATACATGCATGTGTATATTTTCGAATCCCCACGTGTGTGTGGAATTTTAGATTTAATGTCAAAATTCTTATTTCCTCCATCGTTCTCATTGATGGAAGATCATTCATATAAAAGCATCATTCACACCAACACGTACAATTTATAAAGAAGAAGAATTTATTTTGCCAGAATAAGTGAATAATCCTTTATGTAAGTGCGCATAGAATGCTTAACAGATTAACGCACATGGTAAAGTTATTCTCAATAGTTTGCCATTGCTTTCCGAGAGGAGACGAACGTAAATATTTTTGGCTTTGTCAGGAATCGCATTCGGGATTCCTCTAGCATAGTAGACGCTGTCTAGAATACGTCTTAGAATATTAGTTTCATCATAGTAATCTAATTTAAGCATGTAATGACAAAATATTACATAATTTGATAATTAATAAATGAAATTTATAACATTTATTGTACTAATCTTTAAAAAAATTATCATATAAAATTATACGTAAAGGCAACATATATAACAAGAATCAAATGAGCGTTTTATAATTTTTATATAATTATTATAATATAATTATAATATCATTATATTATAATTTTTATATAATTTAAGTATGTAAATTTTATATAATTTAATTCAGTTCATTTCATTCAGTCTAATGGCACTACAGCCCAAGTCGGGCCTAGTCCTACCTCTTTCCCGCTTACATATATCTGTAGTGCGCACGCAGATTATATACAGGGATATGGGGACCTACAATTTTATGCCGAATCCGAACGGACTTAATTGGGAGAGATTTTCGTGGCAAAGATATTCTTCGCAGTTTGCCAGACCGCCGAAGAGGAGACGCGAGCATATGAAAAACATTCTTGGTTCTGCCGGGAATCGAATTCGGGACCTCTAGCATACTAAGGCCAGTGCGCTGCCTATTATGTCTCGCTCTCGATTTGACAATTAGTAAATGAAATTATTAAGTTACTCTCGATGGTTTCCACATTGCCTTCTGAGAGGAGATGAACGTAAATATTTTTGGCTCTATCGGGAGTCAAACCCGGGATCTCTAATATAGAATAGATCAGTGAGCTGTCTGTTGTGCTACGCTCGCTCATAAAAGAGGAATAACTATTAAAGATTATCTTCTATCTCAAAATGCATATTACCTCATCAAAATATATACGAAAGAAAAGAACATTTATTAAAAAAAGGTTATTCTAAAAAAATACGTATCTTTATTGAAAAAGAAAAAAAAATTATTCGAGCAATTCTCATATCTTTTTCGAGAAAAATGTACTTGCATGACTTGCGAAGAAAATTTAATGCGGAAACTGGCTTATCATTTTTCTGTAGAAAAAGGTGTTACTCCAGAAGACTGGAAGCAAGAGCAGCTTGCTTCAATAGATTAGTTACGCATTTTCGAAGAAAACATAAAGAAACCTTCGTCTTAACGAATTTTTGTATGTATTCCTAAAATTTACCTATGATATTTATTGAAGTACTATTTTCTACTAATATAAAACAATTACTATTTCTAAGAATTATTGAAACTATAAAATAACTTTTTGTTAATTAAAATTTAAAACTTATTCATAAAATATTATTTTAAAAAACACTTGCATTATTACAAAATTTATATTCAAAAATTCGGAATTGGAAGATATACCTACGCAAATTTTCCCATTATAACGAATGCAATAGATCTGTGATCGAACAAGTAAATCGAACTCTGTCTGAGAGCAATCGTAATCGAAACAAAAACTATCTTAAAAGTCACGGCAAGACCACAGAGTTAACTATTGGTTCAATACTCGATACTCGATCGAGTAACGGGAAGCCGTAATTTTTTTCTCGGAGGTATCTTTTTATTGTTAGAACAGAAAGGATTCGCGTTCGCAACGAATGTATATCCGTTACTAAGCTAGGACGATGTGCAAAAAAATGAGGCAGCCTTGCTGCCGACACAGCTATCGAAATAACTCGCGGCGTCGCTCTGACAAGTCGTTGATCGAAGAAACCGTCTGCCGAGATGAAAGACACTCCGGTGGAAACGTGTAGATTACTAATGACGGTACACGCTCTTTTATGCGGCAGACGTACGATAGTTGGATCAGGTACACACCTTAATGGCAAGAACTGACAGAGATAACTAGGCATTTAATTTAGCGTTTTACGTGATTTATACGACTTAAACATACGGCATGAAAATCTTTTTTCTTTACAATAGATTTTACCCTTCCATTCATTTTTTCTGTAATATATGCTCTTATGCATAGCACATATGTATGCTCGTGCATTCTTAACATGCATGTTCGAGCATTGTCTCTTTGATACACCGTTTTGCGGATTGCATGTTATCCTATTTTTTTTACATGATGTATTCTTTAATATATCATTTTAAGAACTATGACTCTCTTTATTACTTTCTTTTTTTATGCATGTAATCGAAAAATGAATCTACAGAAATAATATTATTTTAATTTTTATATAAATAATAAATAATATAAATATTAACAAATAATTATCTCTGAATAAAATTAGAGTCTTATAACCGTAACGTCTAATATTAACGGATAAACATAAAACGGAAATAATTAATTAAATGTTTCATTATTGTATTTGGATTTTTAATCGAAAAATATATCTTGTGCGTACGATATTCTTAACATGCTGGCAAACATGCTAGCAGAATGTTTGAAATCATTTCTGAGTGATCGATCGATTTGATATGCGATCAGTTCGCCCCATTCATTACGCGACCTCGATACCGTACAGATGCCGTATAGTCACACGGTAGTGTGCACAAAGAGCTCGAGAATTTGCAGGCAGCTACAGAAAGTAATTCATCGAATGACTCATTCGGATACCGCGATTATATTATTGAAGATCAAATATATCGAAATGGATAATAGCAGGTTCTCGCACAACATGTTATATTAAGCAAGACTAAAAATACGTTGAAATAATGAAAATAAATTTAAAAATATTTGCTGCTCAATTAAAAAAATATTTCACACTTAAATATTTGATTCCCCTTTGAATGTGTGCTTTCATGCTTTACACTTCATCAATTCCCATGTGAAAAATGCGTGGCGCCATGCACCTTAAAAATTTCGAAAGCGCTCGCAGCTATGAAGGTAATTTATATTCACTTTCACAGGTTTTAACGGGACGTACAAATTCGTGAGATGACGTCCGCTTAATTCACACGTCGGTATAAAATTTACCGGTCGAAGCGGAACGTCGTCTGTATTTGGCAACACAGTGCCACTACTACGACCATCTTTAGGAGAAGAGGCAAAGGATTACTTAATGCCGTTAGCATCTGCTAATAGAAACAAATCAACACTTATTAAGAAAACACCTGATTGCACGTAGTTCCTCGATCCCATAGTTGTTTACATTAAACTGTAGCTCGTAAATCATAATCATTGCATCGTGGAAAACGATAGAGTGTTCGTGTTCGATATAAAACTTGATGCGCGTGTAATGAGTTTGAATTCGCGATCATTAAATCTGGATTAGCAACCAGCTTTCTTTGCAGCATTTACGC